TTTTATTAATAATAAAAATATCAATTTCCATGGTGTTAAAAAATTGGCAGAAATCATACAAAGTTAGGTCAATTAATGCTTGGAGAGAATAGTGAGAGTAATAAGACAAACTAAGCAAAAAGCATCCGATGAACCAACATGGTGGTGACACATGCTTTTCATCTCAGCATTCAGGAGTCAGATGCAGGCAGATCTCTGTGAGATCAAGGCCAGCCTGGTTTACAAAGGGAATTTCAAGTCAGCTAGGGCTACAGGGAGACCCTGTCAAAAACAAGTGAAGATCATGTTTAAGTGCACACTACTAGAATCTAACGCACAAGTTCTTGCACAGTGTGAAGCCCTGAGCTTGAAACCCTACACTGGAAGGGGGGAAACTCCTCCAGCATAGCCTATGGCAGGACAGTGAGCGTACTGACCTCTTCAAGAATCCAGGAAGAATAAATTAAGTATCTATTTATATTTAAATCTTTAAAACCTACATATCTTTTTTAAACCCATTCATTTTTCCCTAAAAAGTTTTAATATAATTACCAGAAGATAAAATTTGGTCTTCATGTCTAGCCATCACTAAATCCCACAGCCCCAATTCACTAAGTCCAAAGAGAGCAACTGAGGTAGAACCAGACAAAAGATTGTTACAGGCATCATGAATAACATTCTGTTCTGGATGCTAGGAGTTTAGGTTAGGCAGTAGGTAAATAAATGCTTAATTCCAACTATTTATTTTGTAAGATTCTTTTTTTTTTTTTTTTTGAGGCAATCTCCCTGTAGCTGCAGCTAGTCTGGATTCTCAATGGAGACCAGGCTGGCCTCGAACTCTGCTCTGGCCTGCCTCTGCTGGGATTAAAGGCGTGCACCACCATGCCCAACTGTTTTGTTTTGTTTTTTAATCTACTATGAATGACATATAATTCATGAATTCAGAGAAATGACTGACCTTCAGCTGCTACTAGTGAAATTATTATAGAGGAAAGTCGTAAGGAAAACAAAAACAATTCGTAGATTCACTTTTCCATTCTCAGATATACAGAAAGATTAAAATATGTAGGGAAAATAAAGTCACCATTAAGACAATAAATAAAATTAACCTGTTCCTCCAAGATACAGGGAATATATGGCCACCCGGTTGTTGGTATCTGTCAATATTCTAAGCAGCTGCAAGAGCTAATATTGCACAATAATGCTAATTTTTGAAAAGTGTGCTAATAGATTTAATGACAGAGTGATGATTAATCTTCATTTGCTGAAGACTTAAGAATTCATTCCAAGCACCATAAAAACAGTAAAAATAAGGGGCGACAGATGGCTCAGCGGTTAAGAACACTAACTGTTCTTACAGAAGACCTGGGTTTGAATCCCAGCACCCACATGGCAGCTAACAACTCCAGTTCCAGGGAATCTGACTGCCTCTTCTATCCTCCACGGGCATCACACGACATGGATGCACTTACTTACATGCAGGCAATATACGTATACCCACAGAGGCTCACATATACTTGACAAGACTCTCCTATATATAGGACTATAAACCCTAGCCCTCATTCTTCCTTCTTTTACCCCATAGAAAAACTTTTTACATTTTAATGAAAGTGGTGCTGGGGAAGAACCCAAAACCTTATGATAAAACAATTCTGTAACTCCATGTTGGTTAGCAATATTATACTATAGCAACACTGTAATATTCAATATTACAGTAAAACACACAGTACTTACAAAAGACTAGCTGCTTCCTGGAATGCATTAACAGCAGCTGGAATGTCCCCCATCACCAGATGTTTCTGTCCCAATCCCAGTAGTTTCTTAGCTTCACTATCCACATCCAGACTGTAAGAAAGAGATTTTTTTTTTTAATTTTGAAATAGGGTCTCACTATGTACCCCTGGCTGGCCTAGAACTCAGTATGTAGACCAGGCTGGCCCCAAACTCAGATCTGCCAGATTCCCTCTGCCTCCTGAGTGCTGGGTTTAAAGGCTTGCACCACCATGCCGATGGTACTGGGATTTTTGTTAGATAGCCTCACACACATATGTATCATATGTGTATTTTTAAGTAAGATTATGAGATAATACATTTTCCTATGTTTTTTCAGGCAACCTTAGCATTATTTTTCCTTCCTCCTTTTCCCCTTGTATTACCCTCCTCCTCCCTTCCCCAGTTAAAGTAACCTCCCATTTCCCCATATCTCCCTTGATATCACTTATGTCCTACTATCCCCCTCTCTTCTTCTCCCCTCCTCCCATGATCCCTTTCTACTTTCCTGGCTCCCAAAGTTACTTCAGGATATATACTTTCATCTAAAGATTCAGAGCTAGGATTCACAAATGAGAGAGAATATGCAGTGTTTGTTTTTCTGAATCTGGGTACCTCACTCAGTATAAGTTTTTC